TCTACCCTATTCCTTCCCTGAGACCACATCCCTTTCTTGAGACCCCGCCTTCTCTAAACCTTTCCATGTACTACCCGTTGCTAATAGAAACTCACCGTTAATTACATAATTACACCTGAGCCATTTTGCTAGTGCTGCATCTGGGGAGAATGGTTTAATTTAAATTATTAAACAGATTAAGGCAAGCATTTTAACTTTCTCATGTTCATTGACCAAACTTCATTTTAAATAAAGTTTATGTCCAACACAAAAGGTTTGTGCTTTCTTTATTTATGGCAGGTGTGAGGAATCTTTTTTGGGTCGGGGGCCACTGACCCACAGAAAAATCTTTCGGGGACCACACAAGTGAGAAGCAAAAAAACTCCTCACAGAATCCCCAACCCTCGCTGATGTGGCCCCTAGCTGAGAAACCTCACTCTTCTGGCATTTCAGCCCCCACAGAGTGAGGGGAGGGGGCAGGGAGGACTGAGGTTCATGGCTTCCCATAACCCAGATTTACTTTTTTTGGGTTCCAGAGTTAGTGGATTTTGTGGACACCCTCAAGCTCTGGGTTGGGAACAGAAATGAGGGGCTCAATGTGCGAGACAGGGCTTCCAGCAAGTGGGATAGGGGTGCAGGATCTGGGTGGGATGTGGGGTGCAGGGTCTGGAAGGGAGTTTAGCAGCAGGAAAAGGTGTGGAGTGGACTTTGGGGGTGGTGAGAATGCAATCAACTAGTTGGGGAAGGAGGCAAAGAAGAGGGAATAAAGGAAAGTGCAGCTTCTGCAAAGTAAAATTGTATCCCCTTCAAATCTTCCCTTTGCTCCAGCCTCGCTCCCCTGCATCTCTCCATTCCCCTCAGTGCAACCCCTGCCCGCACATCCTCCTTCACCCCTCCCCGCCATATCTCTGTGCCCCTAGCGCACTCACCAACAGGACAGCAGCTCTGGGACTTGCAGTTTCCAGGGAGCAGTGCTGAGGAGAGGAGGGGGGAGGGGTCAGAGTCTCTTCCCTGCGCAGCCCTTTGCCTGCAGGCAGCAGCTGCAGGGCTAGGGCAGGCAGAACCTGGAGCTGCCCAGGGCTGGCTTCAGCTGGGCCAGGCACAGCGGGGTGCTGGGGAAAGGGCTCCCTGAATCCACACACAGCCCAGCTGGGTGCAGCAGGATCCTGGGGAAGGTGGCTTTCCGACCCCACATGCAGCCCTGTCCCCAGCGTGCCACGTGTGTCAGCTGCCCAGTCCCCTCCCGGAGTAGGAGGTAAGAGCGGGGATGCACGTGTGTGTTTGCGTGCACACATCTTCTCCCCTTCCAGTGAGCAAGTTAACAAAGAGGGGCAGTTGCCCGGGTGGCTGCCCCTCTTTGATCCAGCCCAGTTGGAGCACAGCACAGCCTTGGTGGGCTGAATGCCATAGCCAGCTGGGCTGGAGCAAACAAGGGCAGCCACCTGGGCTGAAAGCCCTGGTCAGAGGCTGCCTGCTGAGGCTGCGCTGCACTCCAGCTAAAGTCAAAGAGGGGCAGCTGGATCAAAGAGGGGCAGCTGCTCAGGCAGTTGGCCGCGGCAATCAACCAGTTGATCGTGATTGACCAGTTGGTGATCACTGCCCTATATATTTGCTTGGAACAGCAAGTTTGAATACACAAGAGAACAGTATTTTTGACCTAGTCCTAACACTAACGTTTGTTCAGGATGTAACCACAGCTGAACTACTAATAGCAACTGTATCACAAGCATGTTCAAGACCTTTGGAGGAGGACTCATGTAAAAATTAGTATTCTGTTGAGCTTTAGAAAGGAGTATTTCAAAGAAGTATCCTTTGAAAAGACACGTTGCTTGACTTTCATCATGTGAATACGAAACCATGATTCTTGCACTCAAGAATGTGCCCTAAGCTAAATCACCTATTTAACTGAGAAGAAACCAACCAGTCAGTCCTATACACTGAAAGAAATCAAGAGCACAGCCTTCTCTCCAGCGACCTCTGGGCTCTTGTGCATTTCAGAATGGAAGCGCCTGCGTGGAACCTGGAAGCAGTGGGACTTCCCGCTGGCCCAGGCTGCACGCGGAGTTCCAACTTTGAAATGCACAAGAGCTCCCGCTGGGGCTCTTGTACATTTCAAAGGAGGAATGGGAAAGTGCCTATCAACTAGTTGAGTAGTCAATGGAAATTCCATTGACTAATCGACTAGTAAATTAATCGATATTTAGCATCCTTAGTATACACTGGGGGAAAAATACTTATTTTCATTTTTCTAGTGAAGGCAAGTCCCAAGATACAAGTGGGATTTGAAGACTATCTGAATACAGAGGGGGTCTGCAGGGAATCCAAATTTCTGTGGAAAAAGCTTAGGCCGAGGCTTATGTTTCATTTATTTTTTGATTTACCGGTAAAGCCAAACATGGTAAACTGGTGAGTTTGTACTGTATGTGTACATCCTGGAATGTGATGGGAACTCTATTTCAGGGGTGGCCAACCCGTTAAACAGAGAACCGAAACAGTGGTGGGAAAAATGCGAAGAGCCGCACCAGAATTGTTGATGTCCCCCCGAAAAGGAAGAGCTGCCCTCCAGCCAGAGTTGTTGGGCAAAACAAACAAAAAAGGACGCTGCCCCTTTAAAAACCAAGGGTTAGGCTTTTTGGCCACATCAGGCTCCTGCCAGCTAATGCCATTTTGCCCTGCTGGACGGCTCCTCTGCCCCTGGTGAGCACTGGGGGCCGTTTGTAGGGGCGTGTGGGGCAGCTTCGTGAGCCACACTTTCAGGGATGAAGAGCCGCGGGTTGGCCACCCCAGCTCATTTGATTAGCCTAATTCTCTAGTTTGAAGGATTTGCTGCAGTAGCAACAAAATGTGACATATGCCTGTAGCATAAGTGATAAACCTACAGTAGAGAACACAGAATAAAGGGATCTGAAGAGGAACAAACAATATAGAAAATCATTTCATATTTATCAGTAAGTGCAACAGAAATTGTTGCTCCAAATTAGGTGCAACAGAAACAGGTGTTCTTAACTCTGCCACAAAATTACAAATTTCATTTAATTTGCACTTCTATAGCAATTATAAAATAGCTAGTGTTTGCACTGTGCAGCATTCGTATATTTTACATATTGATACCTTGAAATAATTATGCAATTTCAGTTGCTAATTCAGTAGCTTACTTTGATATGAATCAGCTAAACATGGTGGTACTTTGACCCAAAGCTCATCTTAGAAACATTTTTGCTTCTTTGGTTCATCTATTCTACATTTTTGCTATTAAAAAGTCAAGTATAATACTTTGAGATGCTTCATTTTATTTTATTAAGATGGCAAAGAAGGGCGTGGGAGGAGGGACCCCTTTTGTTAATGATCTGTCTAAAATAAAAATTTTGCAAGAGTTTAATTTTTATAGCTTTTTTGGCACTAACAATAAATCAAGTTGGGCACTTTATAAAGCAAACACTAAGAAGGTACACAACTCACCTGCTTCCCCACTCCTATGAAATTAATATTTTACTTGACCTTAACATTTGGGGACTGAGAACAGCCTTTGAGATGAAAGTGAGAAAACATTTTTAATGCATGATTAGTTATTTTCATAGAAAATTTAGGATTCTTTTAAGAGGCATTAGTGAATTAGCATCTCACCAATGAATCAATATCAAGTACAATATACTTGCAACTTCAGCAAAAATCGGAGTCTTCATTGCAAACAGTAGAATTACAACTAGGGATGTTAACAATAATTTAAAATGGTAACTGTGTAATCCCTAAAAATCTTAGTAGTTACATGTGCTGCGGGCTCTGCAGTATAAAGCTTAGCTTAGCTTTATACTGCAGAGCCTGCAGCAAAGTCTCCCAGGAATGGGGCCACCAGCTCCTGCCCACCTGGCTCCCGGGAAGGAGGCTTCGCTGCCTTGCTGCAGCAAAGCCACCTCTCCAAGGGTTGACCAAGTTTAACTGATGCCATTAACCAGCACGCATCAGATAATCGGTTAAATGCTAACATCCCTAAATACTTCCACTGCTTATTTAGCTCTAATTTACCCTAACTGTCTTAAGAGCTCAGTAACAGCACAAAACACTGAACACCAGGACTGGTGGTTGTAAACAACTGTGGGAAACTTGGCCACACCCATGATAAGTGGACATCTGGCTAACTGAAGTCATGCCAGACAAAGGATGTTGTTGGACTAGCGGAGTTCAACCTGTACTATAGAACTCAGAAGTTTCAAAAGTAATTTCATGGCTAATAGTTTTGGCTTTACTTTACCTCATTGTCAATATGCATGTTTGTGATGAAACAGCTTATAAAGAGAGTATAGAAATAATTGTGCTCTATTCTAATGCTTTTTTTCTTTTTATATTGCTAATTTAAATGGTGTGAATTTCCAGCAGTTAGTCTTGAGATAGAATCATAGAATAATAGGACTGGAAGGGACCTCAAGAGGTCATCAAGTCCAGCCCCCCGCCCTCAAGGCAGGACCAAGCTCCGTCTACACCATCCCTGACAGATGTCTATCTAACCTGTTCTTAAATATCTCCAGAGAGGGAGATTCCACCACCTCCCTTGGCAATTTATTCCAATATTTGACCACCCTGACAGTTAGGAATTTTTTCCTAATGTCCAATCTAAACCTCCCCTGCTGCACTTTAAGCCCATTACTCCTTGTCCTGTCCTCAGAAACCAAGAGGAACAAATTTTCTCCTTCCTCCTTGAGCAAACTGGGTTTCTTCTACATAAAATGCATTACGGGCCTTGAAATCACCTTCAGTTAACTTCAAAACTTTGGCAATTTTGCTGGACATTTTTATTGACAAAAGAATAGTTAAAGCTATAACTAATTGTTTTATTTTTATTTTTAGGTTATGGTTTCCTGTGTTATGCACCTTTCTCTGGAAGGGAGGAAATGATTTTAGCAGCACTTGTTTCAAATTAATCAGTAATACGAAGTCGTCTTCACAGTCCAGAAACTAGCACCGGGGAAAACAGTTAATCTTTTTGAAGGTTTTTTTGAAGTTTGTATTATTAAAAGGGGAGAAAAATGACTACTTCGTCTATTAGGCGGCAAATGAAAAACATTGTGAACAATTATTCAGAGGCCGAAATAAAAGTTCGGGAAGCAACTTCCAATGACCCCTGGGGTCCTTCTAGTTCCTTAATGACTGAAATAGCAGATCTGACTTACAATGTGGTAGCCTTTTCTGAAATTATGAGCATGATTTGGAAACGGCTGAATGACCATGGCAAAAACTGGCGGCATGTGTATAAGGCCCTTACTCTGTTAGATTACCTGATTAAAACTGGCTCCGAGAGGGTGGCACAGCAATGTAAAGAGAATATTTTTGCTATTCAAACATTGAAGGACTTCCAGTATATCGATCGAGATGGAAAAGACCAGGGCATCAATGTAAGGGAGAAGTCCAAGCAGCTGGTCTCTCTTCTGAAGGATGATGAGCGACTCAAGACAGAGAGGGCCCAAGCCCTGAAGACCAAAGAGCGTATGGCTCAGGTGGCCACTGGAGTTGGTAGCAACCAGATCACATTTGGACGAGGTTCCAGTCAGCCTAATCTATCCACTAGCTATTCAGAGCAAGAATACGGCAAGTCTGGAGGCTCTCCTGCATCTTACCATGGCTGTAAGTACATACAATCAAACGCATGTAAAAATGAGGGTGATTTTGTTCTGTAAATCTGTATCTGTTCCAGAGCTTTCAGATTCTGATTTGCGGTTGGATGAGTGTGTCAGTAGAGCTTTCTAGAGAATTAGTATACAGATCACAAGGCATTTTTACAGTGGTTGAAATTCTGTAAGTCTTCTGGGAAGTACTAATGCCTTTACAAATTACTAGAATTAATTGCTAGTTAGGGAGAGGATGAATATGTATATATGAGAGTCTCTGTGTCTATGTGTGTGTTCCAGAACTCCTAAATGGTAAAAGCTAAGACCACCAAATTCAGCATATAGCTTCGTCTCATCATAATTGAACAAGGTAAGGGTTTGATTGTGCCCAGAAAATGGGATGTGTCTGGAATAGGATTGTGTTTCAGAAAACCATACAGAAGAGAGACAGAAACACCAGGCAGGTGAAAGGGACTAATTCCCCACCTCCCGCCCGGGACTGCCTTAGCCCGAAGACTTCCACCCCCAATTTGCCCTTTAAGGAGGGCTGATGCTCTCCCTACCCCTCCCAGATTCTTATGGGGACACTGCTTGGAAACGGCTGAATGACCATGGCAAAAACTGGCGGCATGTGTATAAGGCCCTTACTCTGTTAGATTACCTGATTAAAACTGGCTCCGAGAGGGTGGCACAGCAATGTAAAGAGAATATTTTTGCTATTCAAACATTGAAGGACTTCCAGTATATATTGAAGGACTCCACCCCTTAGGGAGTGAGGGGAAAGCGCACAGTTTGCTGTATTCCTCACTCTTGCTGTGTGGCACAGGGGGCCGAAGAACCTGGAACTGCCCCAGCTGGGGGACATGCATTCCTCCCCCAGCTATGCCCACTGGATCTGCTGCGCTGGGTCCCCTCTGCCATTTGAGCCTGACCGCGCCTCCCCCCCCACTAGGGCCATGCTGGGTCCCCTCCACCATCCAAGTCCACATCTGCCAACCGAGCCTGCCCCCCCCATGCTGTGCCGGGTCCCCTCCACCAGCTGAACATGACCCCCCTCCCCCCCCCAACAGACTTGAGCTCTATTCTCAGCCACTGTGGAGATGCTAACACTTTAAATAATCTTACTTCACAGTCCTGTGATTCTGAATCTACCTTTCTCATTTCTTTTTCTGGTATTGCTAGTACATGTTCATGTTAACAATGTGTGAAATTAGACAATATAGAATTTTTGTATTCTCATGAAATCTCACAGCTTTGCCTAGAATTCCCAGAGATTTCCCCCTCCTGTAGTTTGCTGTCCCCATGTCAGTGCTTGGGGAAAAGTCATAGAATACTAGAATTGGAAGGGACCTTGAGTGGTCATTAAGTTCAGTTTCCTGCCCTCATGGCAGGACCAGGCACCATGGCATAAGTGGCATGTGAGTCCATTTTGAATGGTACATGCTTGCAAGAGCTCAGCCCTCCCTCCCGGCAGCGGTGGCAGCAGCAGCAGCAGCTGTGTGGTGCACACAAGGCTTGAGAACCAGCTCTGGCTTCCTGCTGGAAGGGCAAGGGGTATGTTTGGTGTGTAGGGGCCAGGGTGGCCTGGAGCTGGCAGCATGACCCTGCACTGGGCTTTGCGTTCCTGGGGCGACTCCTGCCCAGCCCGGGCATGCAGCTTCCATGAGATAAGGGGTTAACGCCTCCCCCTCGCTACAGGCTCCACTACCTGCTCCGGGAGCGGGTGGGGCTGGATCTGCTCTGCACATCCAGGCTGGGCGGCTGGTCACAAGCTTCTGCCACCTCGATGGGGCCCCTTCCCCAGCACCTTGCTGTGCCCAGCTGGGCTGGAACCAGCCCTGCGCAGCCTGGGCTCTGCCTGCTTCAGCCCCTGAGCAACAGCCTGCATGACAGCTAACAGCTCGCACAGACAAAGCCAGGAAGCTACAACTGAAGCTCTTCTCCCTCAAGAATACCGTACGGCTGGCTTCGGACTCGCAGTACTCCACTCCACCCTGGCAGCCCTCTCCATTGGCTATGTCTGAGAAGGCTGCTTCTTCGGCTCCAGCATCAGAGACTCTTCCTCCAACAACCTAGGAAGAGATCCTATTCTTCAAGTGAGGGTGATTCCCCTTTTAAAAAAAATGCCCAAGATAACCCCTGCACTGACCTCATCTAAGGTACCGGACCAGAAGCTACCGGGACTGTCAGGCATTGACTGCTCCTGAGTGTCCAAGGTCCTTACTAAAGCGGGCATCTGAGAAGCCTAAGTTGAAATTGATGCTCGCAGCACTGGTTGGCTCAACTGTGATGCCATCAAAGGCAAAAGCCAAACCAGGGCCTTCTGACACACCATTGGCACAGAAGTAACTGAGGTCCCATTCAGCGCTGTCAGCACCTATTCTGCCCCCGGCACCAACGAGACACAAGCATGCAGTACCAGCGACCCCGTATATGAAACCGTCAGCACTGCAGATAGCAACACTACCACCCTCGGAACTGCCATCGGTACCGGTGATGCTGGCACTGTGGCCTTTCACTGCGACAGAAGAGCTGAGAGTAACATCTGTGCCAACAAGCCCATTATTTGGCACCGACGGTACACCCTCATTCGAGCTATAACGATGAGGAACCCTGGTCGGTACCCACACACTGGGGCATTCCTCCCCAAAACAGCCTCAGCAACAAGCACTGCCTCAATGGCAGCCCCTTCCAGTGCCAGTGTCAGCCTACTGGGATTCCCGGGCGCCCTTCAGAGCCCAACAATCACAAGGGCAACCTCAGGCACCTCCCTCTGCTCCATTAAGGTCCATGTCTGTACCCTCCCTCAATAGATCTGCTTATTAGGAGGAGGAGGAGGAACCAGATTCAAGTGATGAGGAAATCTCTGCCTCCTCACCTCCACCAACCCACATGTCATCATCTTCCCCTGATGACACCTTGATGCCCCCTCCTCCCACATCAGGAGACTATTTACATCATTCCAAGAACTTTACAAGAGGGGGGCTTATCCCTGGTGAGCCTCCCCGAAACAGAATATGGCCAGACCCGCACCTTATTTCAAGTAATGGAAACACCTGGACCTCATGGGGGGAGAGGCCTATTCTTTCGCTTCTCTTCAACTCTGGATCTCCAACTGCACTGTGGTACTCGCAAAATACACGCACTACATTTTTAAGCAATTCTCATTCTTTATTGATAGCCTCAACTTTGAGGCAAACATTTTCGAAGTTCAGGTTGAGAGTCCAGCAGCACCCCTCTAAGGCAACCACATCCCTAGCAACTATTTCGCAAACGCCTAGCACTTTTCTATCCCCACTGGTCCCCCATCATGATGGACAGATGGGTACTGGACATTATAAAGGGACTGGTTATTGACTCTCTACCTACAGGACGCATGTTTTCATGTATCCATTCACCTGGCGCATTGCAAGTAGCTCAGATTTGCAGTGGGAGATACTCTTCTAATACACAGTGCTTTCATTTGGACTCTCCACAGCTCTGAGGGTCTTTTCAAAAGTGCTTGTGGTGTTTGCTGCACATTTCTGCAGATAAGGGGTCTTGATATTCCCAAAGCTTGACAACTGCCTGATAGGAGCATGCACAAGTCAAAAAGTGGAGAACGTGGTCTCCCTAATCAGGACACTTCCAGACCCTCGGCCTGCAGATAAATCTACTCAAGTAAGCTCCAACCGCTTCAGACAATAGAATGTATTGGAGCACATCTCGGTTGCATAGAGGCTGTAGCCTCACTGCCACTAAAAAGCTTCCAGACTATACAGGACGTAGGCATATTGATCCAATCCAGCCCACAAGTCACCTCAAGGACATGTCTCCAGTTACTGGGGTACATGGCAACAGCCACTTCATTAGTACAGCATGCCAGACTGAACATGAGACCTATGCATTTGTGGCTGAGAACTGTATACAAATCACACTACCATAACATCAACAAGCTGGTATCAATCCCAGTAAGGATCAAACAGTCCCTGGACTGGCAGTCAGACCCAAGAAACGTGTGTCTTGGAGCACCTTTCACAACCTACCCCTGTCCGTGACCATCCCAACAGATGCGTCTCTTCTCGGCTGGGGAGGCACACTCAGGCTCTCTCAGAACTCAGGGTGATGGTCCCCACAGGAATCCAACCTGCACATAAACATACTAGAGCTCAGAGTGGAATTTTATGCATGCCAGCATTTCCTACACCTCATACGTAACGACACGGTACAAATCTTTACGGATAATCAGGCAACTATGTATTACATCAACAGGCAGGGAGGTACCAGAGCCTATGCAGGGAGGCTGTCCGCCTCTGGACATGGTGCATCGCACACAGCATCTATCTGCATGCCCATTTCTACCCAGAGAATCTCCAGGTGGATAGCAGACTTCATCAGACTTGCCTGCTCCACCTTTAGCTGAGATCCTCTGTTGTAGCTACATGCACACTCTACAAGGGCCATAGCGGCTTCTACAGCTTGTTTCTATAGCATCCCTTTTACAGGCATTTGTTGATCTGCAGTGTGGTCCTCGAGCCACCTGTTGTCAAAGCATTTATGCTCTTGATACTTACCTGTCCCCTGATACTCGGTTTGGGCACCGTGTTCTAGCTACTGTACATGATACTGATTAGCTGAAGCACCCACCTCCGATCACTGATACTGCTCCATAGTCACCTAAGGTGGAACATCCACAGGGACACTGGAAGAGGAGGAGAGGGTTACTCATGGAATTTCTTCGAGATGATTGTCCCTGCGGGTGCTCCACCACCCGCCCTTCCTTCCCTCTGCTTTGGACATAGATTCAGGGCACTGCTACCTAAAATCTCTGACGGGAGGCGCAGCAACGCTCTAGACACCTAAGGTGGATAACCATCCTGAAGAACCTATGTTACTGCACACATTGAGTAACCCTCTGTGTCCTCTCATTTGGTCCTATGCTATGATTTGAACTTGGGAAAACTGACGCTTGATGCCTGCATGTATCATTCTATTTCTGAGACAGCCATATTACTTTTATCATGATTCCCAATTTTT